TCGTCGTACCCTGGACGCGGATTGGTTTATCGTCTTACCCAGGACAATCGTCGTTACCCCGGGACGCGTTGTCGTTTATCGTCGTACCCTGGACGCGGTTGTCGTTTATTCGTACCCTGGACGCGGATTAGTTTATCGTCGTACCCTGGATGCGGAAATCGTTTTGTGGATGTTTATCGTCGTCCCTGGACGCGTTTATAGATTATCGTCGTACCCTGGACGCGGATGTAGTTTATCGTCGTCCTTATTTTGTCTTTTTATCCTTGTTTGCAACCGTTCACCCAATGAGGTCAGGTAGATTATGCGTTGTTATCCGCTTGCACTCAGTGTCAAATTTCTCATGTACTCTTTCCTCATTATGTGCCATAGAATTTTCAACTCTTTTCAGCGTTAACTATAAATACTTTTTTCGCATTTTTTTTTAAACTTCGTCATTGCTCATATGATTAGTCCATGTTATTCTCATCGTCCTCCTGGTGAACCCCATCTTTGTTGCTTCAAGTCTTTACTTCGTCTGTGATGAGATTGTACCGCATTCATTGCCATATAGACAGAACAATATGACATTAGAGTTTCTGTACTCTTTTCTTTGTTTTTAACGAGATTTTCTATTTCTTATTACTTTACTTAGTTTTTAGAAGGCATCATTTTATTTCGTGAACTTTCATTACATAAAAATTGTTTTATCTCTTATTATCTTGCCATCTTTTTCTTATTCCTCTTATTGTTTATTGAGAATTTTGTCGACTTCGTTTGCTGAGAAATATGCTTAACTATACTCACTTTTTCTGCATTTATTCTCATGTACGCTATTTGTTTGTGACAGATTACTAGAATATCTTTACTGTGTAAATCAAGTTCTCCTTATATTTCAATTAGCTCGTCGTATCTTATCAAATGTTTTAATTGTAACACTATTACTACCAAATAATCTTCGTTCTTCGTTTACAGTCTGGTTTGGTTTGTTTTCTTTTACAGCATATCAACCTCAATGGGTTATTCACTCTTTTTATTGCTGCTAATATTTTTTTTTTTTTCGAAAATGTATTGTTGGTAAAATTTTTCCAAAAAAAGTATTACTGGTATTAAAACTTATTCTTATACTTTCATAGTGTTTTCACCCCATTTTTTTTTTTTTTTTTGGTGGGGGTAACTATTTGCCTTAGCTGGGATCATGACAGGTGCTACCACCCGAGTCAGGATGGACCTGGGAACAGCAGCAATTAAGAGGTTGTTCCACGATTCTCAAAACCTTCTGATCAAAGGCCTTGCTGTTGGATGTAGTTTATCGTCTTACCCTGGACGCGGATGTAGTTTATCGTCTTATCCTGGATGCGGATGTACTTTATCGTCTTACCCTGGACGCGGATGTTGTTTATCGTCTTACCCTGGACGCGTATGTAGTTTATCGTCTTACCCTGGACGCGGAAGTTGTTTATCGTCTTATCTTGGATGCGGATGTAGTTTATTGTCTTACCCTGGACGCGGATGTAGTTTATCGTCTTATCCAGAACGTGGATATAGTTTATCGTCTTACTCCGGACGCGGATGTAGTTTATCGTCTTACCCTGGACGCGGATGTTGTTTATCGTCTTATCCAGAACGTGGATGTTTATCGTTTATCCGTTTATCGTCTTACCCTGGACGCGGATGTAGTTTATCGTCTTACCCTGGACGCGGATGTAGTTTATCGTCAAACACAGGACGATCTTCGTTTACTCTTCCTTCCGACCGTCATACTAACACGATGAGTAGAAAGCACAGATCGGTTACAAAGGATAAGCCTATGTTTGACTCGAACCCACGTCCCTTTTGACTCATAAAATCCGAGTTGGATGTACCATCTGCTTTAATTGACTAATGTACGAGAATTCTTCGGCTTTGAAGAACAACAAATCTAATCTATAAACTCATCACTCCGTACTACGATCTCTCTCGCTGTGTTAATCGTTTCTTTTACACTTCTAACCGTAGTTTTATTTTTATTTATATATTAAGTATTGTCAAACATTATTATATTTTTAAAATATTTATTAGTATTTATTTTCGTTCTATTTTTTTTACTTGATTTGATTTACAAATTGGGGGTTTCAACCGTGAAATTCTAGGAAATGCATTCAAGTCTTGAGTTGTACTTAATTATTAACGGCCACTAACCTCACAAAAAGTTGTTAACGAATTGGTCACTCCGGCATCCAATGTAAAATATATATGATCGTTCCTTGTCATGTTAGAAGGCTTACTTGAACTAGTGATCTCAAGAAGGTAGCCATCTGGAGTTCCAACTCATGCAGGGCCACTCATGACGGTAAGGTCGAAAAGGAAAGAACCAGATTGCACGTAACCAACCCCCAAAGCTTGCAACGGCGGAATAAGGCAAAAATCTACACGATTTCAACGGCAAAACCGGCGGAAGAGGCCAACGGCAGGCGGGCTAGCGTATGCAAGACGGGCTGGCGTAAACAAGGTGGGCTGGCGTAAGCAAGGCGGGTTGGCGTATGCAAGGCGGGCTGGCGTACGCAAGGCGGGCTGGTGTATGCAAGGTGGGCTGGCGTAAGCAAGGTGGGCTGGCGTACGCAAGGCGGGCTGGGGTATGCAAGGCGGGCTGGCGTACGCAAGGCGGGCTGGCGTAAGCAAGGCGGGCTGGTGTACGCAAGGCGGGCTGGCGTATGCAAAGGTGGGCTGGTGTACGCAAGGCGGGCTGGCGTATGCAAGGTGGGCTGGCGTAAGCAAGGCGGGCTGGTGTATGCAAGGTGGGCTGGCGTAAGCAAGGCGGGCTGGCGTATGCAAGGTGGGCTGGCGTATGCAAGGTGGGCTGGCGTAAGCAAGGCGGGCTGGTGTATGCAAGGTGGGCTGGCGTAAGCAAGGCGGGCTGGCGTACGCTAGGCGTGCTGGCGTACGCAAGGGGGCTGGCGTATGCAAGGCAGGCTGGCGTATGCAATGTGGGCTGGCGTATGCCAGTTGCGCTGGCGTACGCAAGGCGAGCTGGCGTATGCAAGGCAGGCTGGCGTACTTAAAAGTGACCTTGACAGACAAAGCATCCTACAGCCCGATGCAACCAGGTTTGCAAGATCACGCCAGTCTCAACCACATTTGAGTCGCGGGGGAAGCGCTTCTGGCCAAGTCTGTGAGCTTCTCCAGAGTTGTCCACCAAAATAAAATGCATGCGAAGGGCCTCGTTAAACTCTCTTTGATTCACAGACATCTCCGCCACCACCACCTGGCGTGGGTGGGTAGAAAGAGAATAGGGAGAGAGTTGATGACGATCCCGATGGTCGGGTGCGAGCGGGTGCTGACAACAAAATCAAGCGGCGTTTCTATCTTTTTCTTTGCAAAACGGAATGGTCCATTATTTATCTGAAGGTGATTTTCCAAGAGTAGCTTAGATGTAGCACAAAGCCGAAAGTCTGGGGCACCTAGTGAAGATCGAACTCACTACTCAGTCGTAATTGTTCTAGCGAAACAAGCTTGCTAATCATTAGACCGCCTCGTGGTGTCCCAGATATTTTCTAAGCATAGCTTAGATGTGGCACAAGGCCGAAAGTGTGGAGCACCCAGTGAGGATCTAACTCACCATTCAGTCATAAATGAACTAGGAAGACATGTTTGCTAAACAATGCACCATGTCGAAGAGCCCTATTATTTATCTGAAACAATGGCAGAGCTTAAGGTACACGCTAAGGAACGGAGGATCTATAAGAATTATAATATTATAATAATGTTTGACTGAAGATTTCAGTAAAATAAATTGAATAAAATTAAATTAAATAAATTTCCAAAAAATTAAATTAAATTAAATGAATCAACCATTCACCCTTGCATGGAGTATTGCTGCCATATATGGAGGTCTCTTCTACTCCAATAGCTTCATGTCTCGCACTTCTTGCCTGTAGAACTCCCTCCCCTTGTCTTGTTTCCCTGATAGCTGTAATCTCCAACTATTCAAATGTAATGTCAACCGACATCTCCAGATGCCCTAATCTATCCCCTATCCTTCCCTTCATTCTTTCCTCTATCACTCCTCTTTGTTCTCGCTCCAACTCTCTGTAACCCCTTGCGTGTTAATGGCTTCCCACCTTGCTTGCGGTTGAATGCTTAAAAAAATTATCCAAAATTAATAATGAATGTTAACAATGTTCCACTGAATAAAAAATTTAATTATCTTCAAAAATTCAAAATTTGGAATGCTGCATTTTATTGCATTCGCCCTCAGAGACTATTTCTCAGTTTCCTTTATTCTTTCATTCCTCAGTAACCCCTTGCATCTTAGTGGTATTACTGCCTTGCTTTTGGATGAAATGATTAAAACATAAAATTAAATTAAAAATAAAGGAATAAAAACGAAAGTCATTTTAAAGTCATTTTGGCATATTCAAATACCATTCTGAATCATGACCACCATTATAAAAAAACTTTTCTGTTAGCTTTGTAGATTATCGTACGCTCAAAATTCCATGAGTCCTGATTACGATATCTGGTGTAAGAAAGAGTTAATCTTTTAATCTAAATTTCTAAATTGACAGAGAAAATTGTGAAGTCTTAAGCAGTCTGCCTTGTTAAGATAGCGCGCTTAGATACAGACAGAAGAAGGATAAAAATCAGAAGTGAAAACATTGCCCAATTTATAGCTTCGTTGCATCAGATAATACAATTAAGCTTCAAACAAGATGTTTAGTAGGCAAAAGTTTGGCGTCAAAGTTTGACCTGATTTGTATTTAAGTTAAGGAAAATAAAGTTAATAAAATGATTAGAATGACATTGATACGGTATAGCTTTTGTGAAGATCAACAGTTTCTTTAAAATTTTCGCTACGTGCTTTCTATTCCTCAAATACAAATTTCTGTATATACAAGTAGAATACGAGGGTCTGAAAAATCGATGGCAGATGGTGGCTGTAAAGGGGGTCACGCTGGGTCATTTTTCTGATTAGATAACATCTAGAACTCACGCACACGCAAAATGAAAACAGCCTTATCCATCGGAAGGCACTGAACCGTGACATGTTCTTCATTTCACCGATGTCAGATGGTCAGGTTCTCTTGTAGACAGGCTGCCTGGTTAAAAGAAATGGTGGATAACGAGTTAGGAGTAAAAAAAAAAAAAATGAGGTGGGGTTAGTGACAAGGGAAAACGCCCAGAACATGACGTTTATGCCTTATTAGTGGTTGTTTGCTACCTACAAAAGTCCTTGTTTCCATTTCAACTCAAAATTAAGGAACTCTCAGTGTAGCTGTTTTTTATTTCACACTATACTAAGTTTAATAAGGCTAGGGAATATTTTCACACGTATACTAATATTAACCAAATTATGTTGCTGAAATATTTAAGTTAAACGGTTGATTAAATATTTCCCACCCAACAACCATATTCCCACAGGCGAAACGGCGCAAGACTCTTGTTACTATATGGCTAATTCAATGTAAAATGTGCAGACGAGGTACATTCTTTAATTCCACCAGTTCAGACCTTTACAGCTAAGCCTCTTGCTACTCTATCGCTATTTCCATGGCAAATGTTCAGACTAGCTTCATTCCTTAGTTCCACCAGTTCAGACCTTTACAGCTAAGCCTGTTGCTACTGTATCGCTATTTCCATGGAAAATGCTCAGCAGAGTCGCTGTTTAAACCATAATTGTTGTCACTGGGTCTTGGCATGCTTCAGGGATTGTCTAGCATCCCTAGCTGATATGTGTTTGGAAATGCTTAGCCATAAAATATATATTTATATATCAATAAATCTCCTCAAGTTGCATAATAATTTGTCCCACTACAAAATATGTTATTTTCAATATTTCAAATAAAATCATCATCATCATAATTATCATCATCATTATCATTCGGGCGTACTTCGGCTCTTGCGCAGTCAAGCACCTGTCCAGCTTCTTTCGTATAACCCCGTTGTGTTCCAACAATATGTCAATCGGCGTAAGCGATCTTCCCGTTTAGTAAGCGTTATTAGCCCATTTCACTTCTGTTCATCTCTTCTTCTTCTGTTGCCTAAGGTAGAACCTTCCGACAACAGAAAGGTTGTCGAATTTTTGTTGACCTCTCCATCCGATTTCGACTTTATCTTCGTAACACTGGATATGGAGTTTTCCAGTAGGGTTCTTTCATGTCAGACGAGGTCTCGCCCTGCGAAATTATCATGTGTTAGGGGTAGGAGAACCCAGCTATTTCTGCGATCACATCACCCCTTACATTTGAGAACCTAACTCCCCTACATTCTTATGTGTGGGGCGCAGTTTAGCGGGAGACCGACAAAATTCCTTTTAACACCAAAGATGAACTGAAAGCATGTATCAATGCAACATCCACTAAATTAAACAAGGAGACCGTCCAGAAGAGTTGTAGGAGATTCCGAAGTTGTCTGGAGGACGTGGTTGAAGCCAATGGCAATTTTATTTAATAAATTTATTGTTTAGTATTTCAAGATATTTTTATATAACTTTGTTAAATATATCTGTTAAAATGATATATATATTCGTTTGGTTTAGTTTTGTTTTATATCAACCTCAATGCGTTTTATTTAATGCCGACAATTTTTATTGCTGGTAATGTTTTTTTTTCTCAAAAATATATTGCTGGTAATTTTTTTTGACAAATATATCGCTGGTAATAATTTTTTTAAATTATTTCTGGTATTAACACCTATTTTTACACTTTCATAGTGTTTTGAACACACTTTAGGGGGGTAACTATTTACCCATAGCTGGGACCGTAACAGGTGCTACCACCCCGAGTCAGAGTGGATCTGGGAACACCAGCAATTAAGAGGTGGTTCCACGTTCCTCAAAACCTCCTGATCAGAGCCCTTACTGTTGGAGGTAGTTTATCCTCATACCCAGGACAGGATATATATATATATATATAATAAATGTGAATGTCAGTGTGTCACACTTTTTCAACTTTAGTCCTAGGGGCCGTAGCTCAGCATATATGAATTTGGAATCAGGCCGTATCTTTGGTCAAATTAAAAACATTCAGGGCCGGATACGGACCCACAATCCAAAAATTTTGGATTCCCAAGTTTTCAATACTAAAGAGATCAATTAGAAAATCAATCCATAATTTGTTTGGTACGTGAAATGTGTGCGGCACTTGTTACTCTATTACAGAAAATTAGAAAGTTAGAGCGGGCGAAGATCATCTTGAAGAAGTCGGAAAATGATTCTGGAATATATATAGCGATGATTATTTAATGATCGGCATGTCATTTTCGGTTATGATCTATTTCATCAAAGATTCTTCTGTTAAGCTTAGAGAGTAATTATAAATTTTTATTACTCAAAGTAGAGTCCAATAGTGCTAGAAAAGCCTTGGAGAATTCCAGTAAGATATCTTTAATCATTTCTAAGATACAACGGTTCAGATCTTAATCTAACAATTGGACAATTTTGCAGTTACATGATTTGCACAATTTTCCTGTTACGCCCGGTATATATTTTGCTTTATTTTTTGTTTTTCCTTGGTTTTAAATATTTATTGCTTAAAACTTATGCCAGGTACAAACATATGGTTTATTGCAAATTATATCTTAACGAAAAAAGAACAAGTTTATTCTTTTTATCTGTGAACGTCAACATGTGCACCATTTATTTCCAGAAATACGTCTTAGTGATACACGCATTCATCGCATGTGTTTTTCAACGCCTCTTCCATAACCGCCATTAAAAACTTGAAAGTTTCATTATAAAAAAAACTGTCGAGCTGAACGCATTGTCTTTGGTAGACCCTTATAAAAACATCTATTTATATATCTATCTACCTCTCTCACACTCTTTTTGTCTCTCTCTCTCTCTCTTTCTCTCTCTCCATAATTGTGTATTCGGCAGAAAACTCTTTTTAAGCAGGCCTTATTGAAGATGACGGGCAACTTTTTTTTTCGTATGTGTGATTCATTAGGGGGCATCGAGTGCGTAAGAACTCCTCAAATGACCCAAGTTGTTTCAGCTAATCTGTTAGCCATTATCCAGTGTGGTTATTTATTTATTTATTACCTGGATATGTAGTATTATTTATAGAATCGGGAATGTCTTCATTTCCGAACACGGTCAACACGTTGTGGCCGTGTTCATAAATGACATTATTGAGAGTTAATTTCTTCTTTTTGTTGCTAACGCTTCCATGATATATATATATATATATATATATATATATATATATATATATATATGGGGAGAGAGAAACAGAATGTCGAAAAGTAGGCGCTAAAAAGTTTACAGCCTGATCCACATCCCCAAATCTTACTTAAAGCGTCAGATTTACTTGTGATGGATGTTATAAAAAACAAAAACTAGTTATAGTCGCACTTCACCTTTTATTGAAATTTGACAAAAATCTGCTCGCCTTTAAGCGCAATAAATTCTAACTTTGCGTGTTTTTTTTTATGTTTTTGTTTGTCTTTATCCGTTCGTGTTATTATTATTATTATTATTATTATTATTATTATTTTCTTTGATTTCTGGCGTTTACACATTTCTTTCCGGGTCCCGCCCAGGGACCTCAGGTTAGAAATGGCGTCATGACACTTTCCACTGACAAAAAAAAATTACATAGATAAAGCCATTTGTAAAGTGTAGACTGTACTTGTCAGAACAATTTTTTTGTATCTCCTTGAGGAATCTCTTCAATTAGTCTACTGCAATCTTTTCTAACCTGTCCTAGGGCTCCAACTACAACAGGGATTGTTGATGTTCCCATATTCCACATTTTCGAGATTTCTATTTCAAGGTCCTTGTATTTTGACAGCTTTTTGAATGTCTTCAAAGATACATTGCAGTCAGCAGGAACTGTCATATCAATAAGGAGGCACCGTTTTTGTTTGTGGTCTTTAATAACAATATCCGGGCGGTTGGCCTTGATTGTTCTGTCAGTGTGTATTGTGTAGTCCCATAGAATTGTGACAGGTTCGATCTCCGTAACCGGGTATTATTTAAATACCTTACACTGTTCTTCATTTTTACTCTTTTTTCTTTTTATGGACTGTAAGCGTACACACACACACACACACACACACACACACACACACGTATGTGTGCGAACGTGCGTGTGTGTTTGTGATAAAAAATATAGTTTTAACGTATATATATATATATATATATATATATATATATATATATATATATATATATATATGGAGGAAAAAGTGTTTAAAAATGGAGTACAGCTTGTGTATATATAAGAATGGACACCGAGGACAACTCCGTATGTCAACAGTCTGTTCCATGCTTTAACACGACCTTTAGACCAAATGTGTTCCGTGGTATATTTGCATATACTGGTCAATGGAGGCATTATGGGTAGCAGGATCAGATATTTCCGGTTTATTATGTTAGACTAAGGTTATTTGATAGGAGGAAGAAGTTTAGATTATTCTAAAGGTTATTGAGTAGAATTTGATTTTATAGCTATTGTATCAGATTGTTATTTATTATTGATTGTTAATTAATGCATAAATCCAAAATACCCTAAACAATCAATAACAAATAATGAGTTAAAAGATAGCAAACAACTCTGTATAATAACGCATATAAATAGCGAAAGATGCTTTCCAAAAGCTAAACAAAGTATTAAGAAACATGAAAATTTCTTTAGAAACAAATGAAAGAGTGTTGATTTCCTTAAGTGTATTATTCAAGTACAGATCTTTGAATTATACATACATGTATACTGATAACGTAGCAGAGCATCTTTGAAATCGGTTTAGCAAAGTCATTAAGGAAATGCTACACCCTAAGTCCCTGGACAATAATGATGATATGCTTTTTAAGGAAGAAGAATAAAAATGACCCTGTGGACAAAGTCGACGACAAAGATGACCAAGATGAACAATAGATTAAATTCTAATGACGGCCATATTTAACGTAATCATGAAACAGACAAAAACCATCCTGGTTATGACGATAAACTATATCCGCGTCCTGGGAAAGACGATAAAATATTTTCGTGTCCTGGGTGATAAACTACATCCGACAGCAAGGCATCTGTTCAGGAGGTTTTGAGGAGCGTAGAATCACCTCTTTATTGCTGGTGTTCCCAGGTCTACCCTGACCTGGGTGTGGTAGTACCTGTTAGAGTCTCAACTATGGGCAAATAGTTACCCCCCCTTCACAAACTGGGTTCAAACATTATGAAAGTGTAAAAATAGGTTTTAAAACCAGTAATGCATATTTGAAGGAAAAAATATGATCAGCAATACATTTTTGAAGAAAAACGTATAACCAACAAAAAAAATTCTTGTCAGCATTAAATAACCCATTAAGATGTTGATATACCGTAAAACAAACCATACCAAACCAAACCAAAGCAGACAAAAAAACATGTTTAGTATCTAGGTGAAGATTTTTTAACGCTAATGCAGTTTTTGATTAGTAATTTATACTGCTACACATTATTTAATTTGCTCTATGGATATACATTAATTAAAGTCATGCTATACTCAATTCTTCTGTATGAGAGTGAATACTGGACAATTTGCTCAGAGGTGGAGTGAAGATTTGAGCCTACAGGTTCTACAAAACGATGCTAAGATTGGTATTGATGGAACGGGAACAACGAGGAAGTTTTGAGGAATATGGGGATGGAAATACTGAATGAATTATTTAAAGAACATGTTTAAAGATGTGATAGAAGAGGGACTTGGGGAGATAGTAAGCGAGACTTTGTAATACAAAGGTAGGAAGTTGTATCGAACCATGATCGGCACATCAAAGTACGAGACAAGTTCTAATGACTAAAAGAAAAAAAAAATCTGCAACGCTATTCGCATCTCAAGTTCAGTTCCTTTCCAACCGCCGTAACGTAGCTTCCCTCTGCCTTTTCTATAAATATTTTCATGGTAAATATTCTGGTGAACTTTGCCCTATTGTGGCAGAGACTTACCTCGGCGACCCAAAATGGAGTGTGGTGTGAGAATTTCTTCTCACACAGTTCAACCCTTGGCAGAGACAAGAAAGACAAACAATTCAACAAGGCCTACCTTAAAACTTAAAACAAATTTTATTGTATCCTTGCAAAAAAAAGATTTTGCCCTTTTTTGCCCCTGGGAACAGGGTAGGGTAGTTCTTCAATGAATATGTAGTGTCTTTTACTTCAGTAGGACACAATTGGTCTCTACGAGGTTGGAGAAGCTGGTCGTTGCAGGAGTTGAAACTCGGCTGTTGTCGAAATCGTTCATAAAGTTCTTCGTGTAAACGTACACATTTGACGACAGTCATTTGACTGAATTCTACAGCCTTGAAGGAATTAAGCTGGGACATGAAGTCGTCTCTGAAGCATTACCATTTGGTTGCTGAAAGACATTCAATGCCTAATTATTAGGCTTGGGCTTAAAGGCCGTGCAAAGAAATTCAAAATTGAGTCCGGACCATTCCAATAATATTCCGCAACTGTCTCTGAAGCATTACCATTTTGGTTGCTGAAGGACATTCAATGCCTAATTATTTAGGCTTAGGCGCTAATAGCCCTGTCAAATAGATTCAAAGTGAGTCCGGACACTTCCAATGCTTATCCGCAACTGAGTCAAAAGGGCGCGGGCCGTTCTAAAATGCCCGCGAAAAAACCAAGTCAAAATTCGACCAATGAGATTGGTCGTTACAAAATTAGCCAATAGGAGCTTAAATTGCAGAATTTCTTACAGTGGAGGCGGCGAATCGGCGAGCTTCGGAAATGAAGGTGAATCGGGCAGCACTTCCTGTGGTTAAAAGTAGAGGTGTCGCTTGTAGCTATTTTTTATTGGCTGGTTCTGGGCGCTCTTTGGCTGAGCGATGGCCCGAGTCAGAAGCATAAAAACACGATACGCTCATTCAAGGCAAGATTTTCGCTTCTGACGAGGAGTGGCGTGTTTGATATTGAGACGTAGAGAGAATTGTCGATTTGCTCTGCCAAGTGGACCGATTAAACAGGTATATATATTTTTTTCCCCGTGTGTGCTTCCGATCAATTTTCACACATCTATGGTACCTAGACTTTACGAATTTAAGTGCACTACTAGATTGGCGGTTAGGTCTAATTATTTTACACTGGAAATCACTAGATGCAACCATAAGTTCTACGCTAGCAGATTTTTCTCTCGCACTTCTCGTTCTCTTCTGGCTTTTTGCTTTCCAGTAATATTTGATCTTCGATATTTAAACGCATTTTTATCTTTAACTTCTGTCTTCTTAATTCATGTTCACTTACTCCCCCTCTTAACTCTCTCTCCTTCTATCTCTCTCCTCTCTCCCCTCATCTATCTCTCGCTCCCCTCTCTCTCCCCCTCTATAATCTCTCTCCCTCTGTCTCTCTCCCTCTTCTCTCTCTCTTCTATCTCTCTCTTCCCTCTATCTCTTCCCCTCCTCTCTCTTCCCCTATCTCTCCCCCTCTCTCCTCCTCTCTCTCCCCTGTATCTCTCCCCTCTCTCCCTCCTCTTAATCTATCCCCCTCTATCTCTATCCCTCCCCTCTTCCCTCTATCTCTCCCCGTCTCTCCCTCCTCTCTCTCACCTTCTACCTCTCTCCTCTGTCTCCACCTCTATCTCTCTCCCTCCTCTCCCTCCTCTATCTCTCTCTTTCCCCCTCTATCTCTATCCCCCTCCTCTCTCTTTCCTTCTATCTCTCACCCTCTATCTCTCTCCCTCCTATCTCTCACCTTCTATCTCTCTCCTGCCTCTCCCCTTCTATCTCCCCCTCTCTCTCTCTCCTTAATAATATTTTTTCTCATATTCTCTCACACTCAGTAACCCCTTACGTCTCAGTGGCTTTATTGCCTTACTAGGGGTGAAATGATTAAAAACTAAGATAGGAAGATAGTCTTATCTAATTTTCTAAAAGGAGAGGCTTGCCTGACTATCTTGTGTGTTATCATACCAAAATAACTGCTTTTACGAGGACTCCAACGCCAACTTCCGGCACTGTTGCGAAATACGTGGCGATTTCGTTTTAATAAAATGCCACTGGCGTGTTGAATGTTTAAATTGTAATCTAAACTTAGATAAAACCATTAAAAGCAAGACGAAATATCTGTGGATCAGTTTTTCGAATATTAGAACATGTTTTTTTGAAGAAGTGCCAGTATGGAGCCCTCTCAGGCCAAAACATGTCGCCGTTTTTGTGTGAATTCTGCGAAATGAATCCACAGAGTTATATCTTCACGAAACTGTAATGGAATGCACAAAAAAATTAACTGTCAAGTAAAAAGAAGCCAGAAACCAATGAAAATGATTTCAGATCCAAAGATTTCCATATTGAGTCAACGGAATGAAAGATTTCGTAGAGTTTAAGCCCACCTGCCAAGCAAAACGAAACGCAACACACAGAGAACCATTCCACAAATTGCACGTACCCACCAAATCACACAACCTTTATATTTCTCGCAATTTTTCATTTCTTATCTTATCTCACGAGCTTCACTTGCCACAGCGGCTGAGAAAACCTTTTACTTTTTGTTCATATATATATATATATATATATATATATATATATTTATATTCAAGATGATTTTGTTGTTTTTGGCTACCTGGAAAATGGTGGAAAGCGGGAAGCGCTCGGTTTGTGCTTTTGGCACATCTGTATTTATTTGACAGCTAATCAAAGAATTTATCCGTTATTTTTGGTACCAGGCAAGACATGAAATACAAGAAATCTGTTGAAAGTCAAAAGAAACAGAAAAATACTTTTAAAAGACCAAAGAATAAAAAGACGGTCGAAGTCGCAATATTTCAAAGAAAATCTTCAGAGCTTGAATTTAAGTTTATCATCCTTTAAATACAAATAAAATTTTAATCCGCATTAAAAAGAAAACAAGGAAAGAATCTTCGCCGTGGGGTGAATGATACCAGCCAAATTTAGAATGCCATCATAACTTGTATTAAAAGATTTTGATCAGTACGTGCTATCTTATCTATTTACCAATCTCGGCTCAGTAAATAGATTTTCCTGACTTAACAGAGATCAAAAGCGTCCTTGTGGGTAATAAATTATTTCCCATCCCAAAACTCTTTTCCTAACATTTCCAAAAAAAAAATGTTGCTTGTGCAACGGACTCCTGAGATGATGCTTCCATGATAGCTACAATATTAAACAGATTAGACCTACAGATAGAACCCATCATGTACACAGTGTAAAATCATCCTTATTCCCACTGGTAAGGAGAAAGTCCCACTCAGATAGCTTCTTTCCTAGAACTGTTATTTTGTGTAACCCATGCGGATACTTTCTCGATCAATGAATTGATAACCTTATCTATCCTACATATACTCATCATATGCGCTTCTTACTTGTTTTGTAATAATAATAGCTGGCCATTCGTATTCGAGGATACCCCTCTACTAGGGTGGCCAGCCAATCCCTATTGCAGACTCCCGCCCAGGCACATTTGCAGAGCTCCCTTTCAGTTTCTAGAAGAGAGTCTTCTAAAATGATCAACAACGCAACCACATTCAAACCCTCGGTCACAATGACTTGTGACTTTGTGCTAGCACAGCTATCGACGGCGTTCAGTCTACGCAGTTTCACTCACAACCAGTGGTATGGGTTTTTAGGCACTTTCCAAAAGTGCCACACGCTGGTATCAACCCCACCAGTCTGATAACATCAGAAAGTCACCTTCCTGACAAATCGACCATGGTGAGATTCGAACTTGGGTTCCATGGTAAGAAAGCGAACCTTCGAACTCACACTCTTTAGGTCCTGTCCTAAAGGGCACATAGCACAGTGGATAAAGGCGTTAGCTCCAGTGACAGAAACTAAAAAGTGTGACTTCAATACCTGGTTAAGGCGGTGGAGAACTTGGAGTGGGGAATTAGCAAGAGATAAATGATAACTGACATCCATTAGAAATGGCACGTGGAACTAGAACAGTCTACCCCAGTGAGCGAAATAAAGGGTTTAGTTCGATATTCCAACCACCTGAAGACTGGCCGAAGCGTACAACGGCCGAAACGTTGTGAATATGGCACTAAAGATGAAGATAAAAGTCCTAATAATATAATGTATCTCAGAGATATAGAGGCCGAAACGTTGTGAATAGGGCAATGAAGGTAAGGATAAGAGTCCGAATAATATAAATAATGCAAGTAAGCATAATAATACCTCATGTTAGTGATATAGAGGCCGAAACGTTGTGAATATGTAAATATGGCAATGAAGATGAGGATAAAAGTTCGAATAATATAAATAAGGCAAGCAATACCTCATCTCAGAGATATAGAGGCCAAAATGTTGTGAATATAGAAATGAAGATGAGTATAACAGTCCGAATAATGTAAATAATGCAAGCAATCATAATACCTGATCTCAGAGGTATACACATAAAGCAGTTCTGTTTTGCGGGTATTATTTCTCTCTTCGCAGTGTGAATTTTAGATTGGTAACGCATATTTTTCCGCTTTTCGTGCTGAATCAATTTAATTTTATTTCAAGACGAAAGCAATATTAGATTATTCGGAAAATAATTAAGTTTTGCCAGAAAGACTACAAAATGAAGTATAAGTTAATTTAACTTAAAATTTGTAATCTTTTGTAAGGCTGGGGTGGTAACTTTACCCAAACGCCAAGAAATAATTCGTGCCTCTTCGTTTATTTTTATTTTTCTTCGCAGGCGAGGGTGGGGGTTTCGTTTCCTATCATCTTCCATTATCTACTAAGCCGAAGTATATTCTGCAGGTTCGGGAGTCATCAAAGATATAAGAACACTTAAGAGGTGAATTCATTAAATGCAGGTACTGAACAAGTAAAGAAATAGACCGTAATTATTATAGAATGATATATATATATATATATATATATATATATATATATATATATATATATATATATTGTATGTCATTTTTATCGATACAAATATTTAAGTAATGCTCTGGCTACAATAAACAGCATCAACAACATTTACCGGCTTGAATGTCCGAGACATTTCATAAAAAATATGTGTCCTCCGAGAGGAACGAAAACTGTATCCTATACGGAACCGTAATATAGCCTGATGTGCTATACCATTCAGCAACAAAGGAAGCGTATGGTTATGAAGATCAAATTACTGCTTTTAAACTACAAATTTTCCATGATTTCTATCCAGCGCTCATATCTGCTCGAAGCGTATCTTAACGTAAGCAAATGACTTCATATATTATGAAAATGGACTAAGTATATATATATATATATATATATATATATATATATATATATATATATATATATGTTTGTGTGTGTGTGTGTGTGTGTGAAAAGTGTATATAAATATAAATAAATATATATATGTATAATTATTTATATATTATATGCGCGGTACTTATTAGAAAACGCTCAATATCAGAGATACAGCTAACATATTTGGTTGGATAGATGTGAGTTTGTGACCCTGGGTTTTACGCTTTAGCGATCGTCAGTTATATATATATATATATATATATATATATATATATATATATATATATATATATATATATAGTTGTATATTTAGGCAGCAATCCTTCGTTTATGCATGTTTCATTAAAAACGACAGCCAAGGTACTACAGTTAAGATTTTTATTTAATTTTTCTTTTGTTCGAACAAGAGCTTTCTTTTCTGGACAAAGAATGTGTAAAAAGCGGAAAATGAAGTGATGTTTCATAAATTGCAATTTTAAATAAAACCGTTTATTACCACCATTGTTAACTAAATGATGAGACGTTGTTTATTAAACGTCGAAACAATATGAACAATTTGAACAATGCCAGCATGCTCAAGCACTCGGCCACGATGACTTGTGATTTCGTGCTAGCACAGCCATCGATGGCCCCCAAGTGTTTCATCTACCCAGTTTTCACTTACAAGGTCAACACGTGGTGTAGTTTTCAGGCACTTTTCAAAGGTGCCGCACGCTGAAATCGACCCTACCTCCAATCGGGAGAATGAACAACTCAGGAAACCCACGATAAAAAAACGACCTTGTGTCATGCAACCCTCGTGGGGGGTGGCTAGATACCGAATCAAGCCGATCTTTTTCGGCTTGATTTGTCGAACTCTCTGCTTTTCAGCAGAAAGCGAACCCGGAGGAGGTTCCGCCGAAGGGCAGAATCTCGTTCGGGGTGAATGACCTACCCGATCTCGTTTTTACGAGTTATACGGGCATTTTGGCCGAGCCTACGGGCTCCGGGAATCCCACGATAAAACTCGGCCTTGTGCCACATGCAACTCTCGTGGGGGGGCTAGATACCGAATCAAGCCGAGCTTCCTCGACTTGACGGTCGAACTTTCTGCCTCTGAGCAGAAAGGAACCCTGACGAGGCTCCGCCGAAGGGCAGAATCTCGTTCGGGGAGAATGACCCAACCGATCTCGTTTATACGGGTTATACGGGCATTTTTTGGCTGAGCCTACGGGCTCGGGAAACCCACGATAAACTCGGCCTTGTGCCACATGCAACCCTCGTGGGGGGGGGGCTACATACCGAATCAAGCCGAGCTTCTCGGCTTGACGGTCGAACTCTCTGCTTTTGAGCAGAAAGGAACCCGGATAAGGCTCCGCCGAAGGGCAGAATCTCGTTCGGGGAGGTTGACCAACCCGATTCTGTTTTTACAGTTTCTACGGGCATTTTTGGCCGAGCCTCGGCTCGGAAAACCCACTAAAAACTCGGCCTTGAGCCACATCTTTCCCTCGTGGTGGTGGTGGAGGGGCAAGTAAATATCGAATCGAGTCGAGCCGATAGTAGTTCACTCCAAACCAGACTGA